TTATCATCGCCGTCGTCATCATCATCATCATCGAAATCCTCACCATAACCATCATCACAAACACCATCACCATCATCATCTTCATCATCATCATTATCTTCATCATCATCATCATCATAATCATCATCATCATCATCATCAGAACCTTTGGGGGTACTAGTGAAGGGGTAGTAGACGGCCACCAGGACGTTGATGAGGATGGCCAGGTAGAAGGAGGCCTTGCCCCACTGAGTCATGTGGCTACTCATCCAGAACAACAGAAAGTTCGCTAGGTGGTCGGATGGATGGAAAGATGAATGAATGAATGAATGAATAAATGAATGAATAAATGAATAAATAAATGAATGGATGAATGAATGAATGAACGGATAAATAAATGAATGAATGAATTATTGGATGAATGAATGAATGAATAAATGAATGAATGAATCATCTTCATCGTCGTTGTCACCTCGCAGTTTTTTCTGCCATTGCATTTCTGAGAATAGGTCGTCGAATCTTTCAAAAAAATCCATAACCTTGATATGGTAATAATTATCATAATTATAATTATCATAATTTTAATTATCATAATTATAATTATCATCATCATCATCGTCGTCGTCTTCGTCGTCATCATCATCATCCTTACCTTGCTTCCTTGATCATCTCTTTCGGCTGTAAGATAGATCTGGGTAGAAGAATGAATGAGGGAATGAATGAAAAAATGAATGAATACACGAATGAATGAATAAATAAATAGATGAATGAGCGAATGAATGAAAAAACGAATGAATGCACGAATGAATGAATGAATACATGATTCAAGACAAGAAAGATGGATGAATGTAAGAATGAATGAAAGAATTGAACTATAGACAAAAAAAAGTCAACTTCCTTAATTCATCCACCTGAATATTATCTCTTTCTTCCCTTTCATTCTTTCACATTCGAAGTACAATAATTATTTTCTACACTGTACACACACACACACACACCACAAAACACACACACCACAAAACACACACACCACAAAACACACACACACCACAAAACACACACACACACCACAAAACATACACACACACACAAACCTTGTGCTTAGTTTCACTGGTGAGATACTCGCAAATTTCAGGAATGGGGAAGACAATCTGCTCAATCGCTCGGTCGGGCCTAACAATCTCAATCTGGGCCGTGTGACTCGAGTAATAGTCGAGCGCCGAATCGCACATCTCCGTTTGGGCCGTGGCCATACTGGCCGACGATGACGTCAGCGGGGATGTTATGACTGTTGTTGGAGGTGTCGGTTCAGTCGGTCGGAGCATCTCGGCAAGTTCTTTGTTGTGCTTCGAAAGCTACCACGACAGCGACGTTGGTGATGATGACAATTTTTATATTAATAAAATCATCATCACCATCACCATCATCATCACCATCATCATCACCATCATTATCACCATCATCATCACCATCGTCATCACCATCATCATCATCATCACTATCATCATCATCATCACCATCACCATCATCATCACCATCCTCATCATCATAATCATCATCACCATCATCATCATCACCATCATCATCATCATCACCATCATCATCATCATCATCATCATCATCATCACCATCATCATCACCATCATCATCACCGTCACCAAGACCTACCTGGTGAGCCAGTATATAGATGTTGTGACCTACTTCTCGTGACCTACTTTTGAAGTCTTCATCGTTACCCTCGTCGACCGACCCAGTTTTTTTGTTAAGTAGGTCATCTGGTGACTCAAATTGCTCGTAGGCCAAATGAATGACGTCAACCTAATGAATAATCAAATTAAAGCAAATATGTTAATTTATGATAATGAGCAATCAAGCTGGCCAATCAGATATTACCAGCTGTTTGGGATTCATGCTGTACAATATGCGCTCTGCATATTCATTTTCTCTGCTGCTTTCCATGATGGCCAATAGGAGCTTAGATGCGTTGTCCTAGTCATATGATTGGATGGTTGAGTATTTGGTTGATTGCATGGTTAATATTTTTATCGACTGATCCAACTAACCTATCACAATCAATCAACCAGCCAACCAATTACAATCAATCAATCAACCAATTAACCTTAAGTTCGAGCACAAGATCCATGTGTATTGCCGAGG